AAAGTCTAGAGAGCATCTCACAGGGTCTGCGGGAATGTACTTCCTGTAGCATGTACTGTATAACTTCCTCCCTCTCTCTTCCCTGAATACCATTTTTTTCCCCAATTCTACTGAGGATTTTACAATAAACTACCGTACCACTACCGCCATGCGGCACAGTCTCATTGACTTCCGGCCTTGGAGATAGTGCTGTTGCTAGGATTGTAAAAGGTCTGAGTCACCATTGAACATCCCAAAGACAGTAGTGAGGCCTGTTAGTTCAGGGAAGGAAGGGCAATTGTACTGGGGAACATAATATCTTGTAGGGGAAGGACAACCACAGTTGGTGCTTAGGGTATGAGGTTTAGTGCTAGAGGGGAGATTTGGGGAGGTGGAATGTGGAGGGAGAGGATTTTTTTGGGGGGGTTGTGTTAAGAGAGAAGATTTGGAGGTTTGGAGGGGAAATTCTGGACAGTCGCAAGGCACCCTTTAAAATTATGGACAGTTTTGAGGCATTCCATTCTAAAATGGGGTGCCTTAAGACTGTCCATAATTTTAAAAGGGCACGCCAATCTAAAATGTGAAAAACTATTCTAATAGTTTTATATAACGCAGCATCATCCACACATGTAGGACACCCAACATTAGAGGTGATTTATTCTTCCAAAGCAAATACACTTCTGCACCCTGGTACTGACTAGTATTTGTCAGGGCAGGAGCGGTGTAATGGGCAGGCAGGCCTAATGGTCAGGTCACGCAGCGACTGACGACAGCCACTACTCACAGACCAGAGTCCCTCAGGGCGCAGAGTCCAAGCCCCAGGCTGCCCTTCACCAGGGCCCCTGATGGTGGGGATGGACTTGACGCAGCCTGAGACCAGGTCGCGGCCCCCGAGTAACCCCAGCTGCGGTAACGACTGCCGCCAATGGCGTACAGCTGGTGGGAGCCAGATGCAAAAAAGTATAGCGTGGTCGGATAGGCCGGGTCGATAACAACGGAGCAAACAGTACAAGACGGTAGACAAGAATACTCAGGTCACGGGCCGGGTTCAGCAACGGGAGGTCAGGTAATGGGATAAAGCAGAGAATAGTCTTGTCCAAGCCAAAGTCGGTTACCAGGAGAGCAACGAGAACAGAACAAGGGCTTGCTGCAAAGGAACATACAGGACACGAATACAAAGAGCAACTGCAGACAGCAGGCTTAAATGTGATCAGCCACACCCTTCTGGAGGAGGAGCCACAGAGGCCTGAAAGCATAAAGGCTCCCACCATGCTTTGCAGGAACTTAAGATGGATGCCAGCACATGGAGCAACACAATCTCTGAGGAAAGGTAGACCTTGACAGTATTCCCATGTTTCTATTCTGCCTCAGTTTTCTCCATCACTGAGCTAATGTGAACCCAGCAATGATGAACAGGGGCAGAGGAGGGTCAAACAAGGATGCTGTGCAGGCAACTAACATTCTCCTTATCAACTGATGGTGTCATTGGTTGTCAGGACGCTTGCGGCTAGAAGGTTGTAAAGGGGCACAATGAAAACCTATGGCCTTGTGTAACTAAAAGGCAGGCAGGGGGGGGGGTATGTTCCACCCACTGGCTTGTATACAAGTTTTGGGCAATTTTTAGACATTTTGCCAAGGCACCCTTGAAGAAACCTCAAGGCACCCCAGGATGCCTGGGCACCCTGGTTGAGAAAGGCTGCTCTGGATCAACTGTGGGTATAGGATTATAACTTTGTTTTTTTTGGTTGAACTAGATGGACTTTTGTCTTTTTTCAGCCAGAATAACTATGTAACTATGTAATGGCCATTGATAACGGTCCTCCACACTTAATTCAGATGACCTATAAAAGAAAAAGATCTTTTCATGGTCAACAACATCAACAAGCTCATCCCCCTGCACTCTGTCATATTATGGGGTTTGTGTTCCTTCATTAAAGATGGGCACAATATATTTAGTAATATAAAGATAATATGCGAGCGCTATCCGGAGATCTCAAAGCGGCTAGAACACCAAAAGGTAACCAAAAAAGAACATTCCAATAAAATACATAAACATATATATATCTAAAAACATATATAAGGTGCAGCGCTATAATAGTAAAATGGCATATATAACATATATAATAAAGTGAAAATATCAAATCACACTGAAGTTAAGTGAGATGAACAAGTCCCAAAATAGGTCAAACGTGGGGATCCAATAGATCCTAGTAGGTGCGTGGGATGAGATTCTGTGTATCACATGGTGAATCTGAGGTAAAAATTGCACACTCACCAGAAGTGCGTCAAAAAAAAACGCATGTAGGGTTTATCCTGTGGTATCAGATAGCGATCATCAATGGCCAAGACAGGGACAAGATCCTATACCTTCCAATAGCACCTTGGGTATATACTTCAAATTTCATAAGCGTGTCACCATCTGGGGTCCCCTTTTAGAGCAGATTCTGCAAGTGGGGTCTGTCATAGAAGAGAGCCCAATAAGGGACACCACATAGTGTGATACCATATAAACTGAGTTTATTGGTACAACATGTATAGTGAAGGTAAAAATGCAAATGCAACACTGACCAGATATTAATCAGGATGACCACCTGCGGTGGTCAGACGTCCAGATACTGCAGCCCACTGACGCGTTTCGTGCGGTGCACGTTATCAAAGGGTCCTGGGCTAATATCATATTATATCTTGTTTGATGGTTATCAGATTAAGATGTATTATGTCTTAATTTGAAAACCAGTAATAAAAGACCATGGCCAATTTTATTCCTACATGGTGATTTAGTGTGTATTTATTTTATAAATAGTTTTATTTATTTCTGCGTACACTCCCACTGCTCTTTAATCAAAAGAGGTACAACCCATACATTATAGACCAAGCCATCCTTATCCTTGGCAACGGTTAAACTAGCCGGCTGTGCTGCATTATCAGACATAATTTATCCGGCAGAGTAATGCTGCGCATTTACCCTACATGGCTGTCCTTTGATATTGTCCTTTTTATTCCCGATGAAAAACGAGAGAGGAAACAAGGTATAATATCCAACAAATGTTTGCTGGCTTGAAACAGAGAGTGATTAAAAGTCCTAGCTGTGGTGTCCCGCACTCTACATCAGCCCGGCTATAACAAGCATTAAAGATGATGGCTGTTACGTTCCCAGATAAGAAATATATTCTTCAAGCTGTCCCGGGGGAAATTTACCAGCTGGCCAATTATTGCTCGATGTGGCAGACACGGTTCACAATACCGTCAGGGGCTTTGCTCAGTTTGAAATGCTATTTTTGCGAGGCCGGGTGTGAACGAGTATATAGATGGGAGGGGAGGATGTGCCGGACCTTTTGGCGAGCGGGTCGATTTAAAGAATAAAATACTGGACTAAAAACCCACAGTTGGCAGATTGGAAACAAGTAATTTCAGGGACAAAGTTTATTGAGATAATCCAGGGAAGATAGGAACAGTCACTGCTAGGGATAAAGTGAACCTGTACTTTGGCAGTGCAGGGCAAGGCAGAGGATTTATTTCAATGTTGCCCCCCTCTTCACCTTTCATTGGCTCCCTTTGGGGTTTACAGTCCCCATGTGACAGAGCAGAACTGAGTGATGAGCAGATCAGACACCAAGTGGAAGGAAGGAAATACGCAATAATCAAAGAATGGTACACTAATTATGCCTTCAATAGTGACACATGTAATAATTAATGAAACGCGTAGACTTCGGTTCTCAAGGCGGATATCCTTGGACTTATATATCTTCAATTATGTGTTTTTTGAAATCCACAATGGCATCTTTTAATAAATTCTGTAATAAAATTTTTAATATTGAGTAGTCATTACATGTGTCACTATCATGGCATAATTTGAGTCCCATTCATTGAGGTAATGTGTAGTTTCAATTTAAGGATGTAATTTGTGTTTTTTTCCCAACATTCCACTGAGTTGTGAAGGAAGGAAATATTTGCATATATAGAAGGCATAAGATGGGGCCTGAAGAGGACTGGGCTGGAGTGCAGGTGAACATTTTCGCCCTGCCCCTTGATATGTTGGTCTAATGACCTTGAGTGGAGATATTTCACCTTTCACACATTGATCAGAGTGGGTCAGTGATACATCTCGGGTGGGTTATATAGCTACTTTCTGCCCTTTCAGACCTGCAATCACAGGTGAGACTTCCAGCACTAACTTGCTCTAAGAAGATATGTAACCCAATGATGAGGAAGTTAATGCTGGAAGATAAGAAAAAGTACATCACAATAAGCCATAGGAATAATCACCCTTATCTATGCTCCCCAATTAGTGAGGCAACATGGCACTTTGTATGGTACATTTTATTTAGCATAACAAATCTGTCCCTACCATGAAAGGACAACAGGTTGCATTTGCACCCCCCAGGTCAAAGTTATCATGCCCTCCCTTGGGTGGGGCATTTCCGAGAACCTGTATGTAAGCAGGAGCTTCCAAAGGGTTAGTTTTTTTTTTCCATGCTGACTGTTTGGATCAGGTCATCTGTCTTTCCACTGAAACTGTTAAAATCTTGATGTATGCAATGTGTCCCTGAATTGACCTGCTGAGTGGATGGGTCTAAGAGGAAGGGGTTAACTTGCTGGTCAAGTTTTCCCACCCAAATCCTGAGATTCACCGCCCCCCCCCTGCAGGTCATCCAATACAAATATGGGATCTTCATTACACCAGAGAGTTCCCCTGCAAAAACAATGCCAAAATGTAGGCTGTTATGCTGCTGGACTGTGCCCCTAGCTGAGGGACCCAGTTGGGGTTCCCTGAGGGGCTGGGGAACCTGAGGACTCTTATAGACTTTCAGCTGCCAGCTATGGACTTACTGTCTTTAAAGATTATTACCAATCATGAACTCCAAGGACTATTTGCTATCTCTTGTGGATTATTTGCCTTAATAGACTTTGGTCTATAAAGGACTGTTTATGGACTTGCTGCTACTCAGGCATGACATGGGCACTAGAGAACCTTTGCACACAATTTTGTAAGAAGTTGCTTTGCCAGAACTGTTCCTGTATGTTTGCAGTACTTCAGTAAAGACCAGGGGCGGACTGACCATTTAGAAACTCGGGCACTGCCTGAGGGCCCGGGGTCAGTAGGGGGCCCCATGAGATGCCCCTGGTACCTTTTTCATAGGCTTTTTTGAGTTTGGGCAAAGACACAGGGGTCCCATGATCCCCTATTGCCCGGGGGCCCCATGAGTTGTCAGTCCGCCCCTGGTAAAGACTGTTTTTACTCCTTTAAATGCTTGGTCTGAAGTCTCTCAAAGGGGTGCTACCATGGCTTATCTAAAGAACAGGACTTACACAAGGGGACTGTAGGTTGGAGGATATATAGTACATTTTAGTCCAGCATGTAGTTTACTGTCTATTGTAGGCTATATTGTCGTAGCTCGGGACAACCCTACATGTATTATTGCTTAAGGCAACCAATCAGCCATGAAACGGTGACTTGGCATAAGGTAATGGATACTCTGGTACTGAAGCGGTGATCACTTGCGGTCGTTTGCCCACATACTAGGACCAGACCAGCGGCACAGCATACCTAGGGACCTAGCTTGGGAGTCACAAAAGAGTTATGTAGAGGGGCCCCTGAGAAGAGAACAACATGTCGTTGTGGTGGAGTTTGTTTCCTATATCTAGTAGCAACAGATGAGATGTCACTGGGAGTAAGGTGATAGGAATTGATGGGTTGGTTAACGCTGGTGCAGGCTCTGCTGTACCACTTCCTAAATGCTGTGCACCTGGGAAGAGGTGTTCTCTAACTGCAGTGGTGTCTAGACTGCTTAGTGTTAACAGTACAGCAAGTTAGCCATTGGTTAATAGAAGGTTAACTGTGTTCATTGCGGCTCGCTTCTAAGTCTGGAGTTGTGCCTTAATGCTGATTTCACATAACCGCAAACTTATGCCTAGAGCATAGGCAATTAGTGAGTAGTTCTTAGTGTCCCCACTAGGGAGCTTAACCCCCTTTCACATGTATGTTTGCCCTACATGGAAAAAGTTTAGATTAATTTTAAAGCATGGAGGTACCCAAGTGCAAACCTTTATGATGCAGATGGTAAATACAGAGATTTTAGTGACTGGGTTAATGTCTAATTTAAGCTGGCCTAGACCTAGTGCATTGACCTCTTTAATCTGGTCTAGACTTGGTGCTTTGACCCTTTTAAGCTGGCATAAAAATGGTGTCTCTTTAAGATGGCTTAGACATGGTGCCTTGACCCTTTCAAGCTGGCCTAGACATGGTGTCTCTTTAAGATGGCTTAGACATGGTGCCTTGACCCTTTTAAGCTGGCCTAGACATGATGTCTCTTTAAGATGGCTTAGACATGGTGCCTTGTCCCTTTTAAGCTGGCCTATACATGGTGTCCCTTTAACATGGCTTAGACACGGTGCTTTGACCCCTATAAGCTGGCCTAGACATGGTGTCACTTTAAGATGGCTTAGACATGGAGCCTTGACCCTTTTAAGCTGGCCTAGACATGGTGTCTCTTTAAGATGGCTTAGACATGGTGCTTTGACCCCTTTAAGCTGGCCTAAACCTAGTGCATTGACCTCTTTAATCTGGCCTAGACTTGGTGCTTTGACCCTTTTAAGCTGGCATAAACATGGTGTCTCTTTAAGATGGCTTAGACATGGTGCCTTGACCCTTTAAAGCCGGCCTAGACATGGTTCCTTGACTCCTTTAAGCTGGCCTACACCTGGAGCCTTGACCTCTTTAAGTTGGCCTAGACCTGGTGCCTTGACTTGGTTGTTTTTGGCCATATACGGCCAGAGAGTGTTTAGCACTTTATTGTGTTTAGCACAATTTATTCCAAGGTGGTGTTCTGTGTTATTATGACTTGTTATCCCTCATTCTCTTTTCCTCTGTTGTACCGCATGTCCATTTGAGTCTATCTGCAGAAATTATAAACAATTTCCATCATACACAAGTCAACGGCCTTGAATCTACTGAGAGCTATTGAGGCCTTTGTAAGGCTGATTGCACTGAATGCGCCACTGCCCTGTGTATAGTTACTATAGTGAACAATAAACAAGATAAAGCAAGAAAGGTCAAAAACAACAGATTAGTATTCAGCTTCAGGAACATTTTGTATATGTGAAAAGGGTGGAATTCACAATGCACTTAAAAAGACAAAAAAGTGCAAAACGTTATGGCCAGGAAAAGGATTAAGTACCTTCATTCCATTGTTTTTTTTTTTAGTCTTTATTTCTATATTTACTTAATGCATCCATTTCTATATATTGTATGCAGTTGTATTGAATTTTGCGGAGAACATTGAACTATACACATCTCTTCCAGATCAAAAAGATCATACGCTTGAATGTCCTCATTGCACTCATACACACAAACTGTAATGGCAATTTGAAACTGAAGTGAACAGTTGGAATGCAGACTTATTTATAATTCTTAATCTATAGAGTGACCCAAAAAATATTTAAATAATCACTCAATTGCGCCAAATGATGATTTTTAAATATTATTATATCCAATTAGCTGCCACTTTAAATGCTATGTCAAAGCTTATCACAAATGTTATCACCCTCAATAGCAGTGACTATCAGCGCGCTTCCATATGAATGCATTAAATCCTATCGACAATCTCTGTGTGTATTCATTACCAAAACAATATCAGCAAATTATATGTGACATAAATTATAGTGCTCAATTTTTACACCATAAATCATAAGTCCAGTGAAAAAAAAAAATATATAAAATAGATATTAAAAAATAAATTAAAAAAGTCCAAAAAATCTTCCACAACGTGAATCTTCTGTGACCGTTAATCCCAGTGAGAAATGAATAAACCACGTGCTGTGCCTCTCATGTACCCCCTCTCAGGTGTGCACTCACCAGAACATAGCCTTTAATTAGCCTTATATTTAAATTCCAGATATTAGGATCACCAGAACATATGTAAATAAAAACAAAAATAAAATTAAAAATTTTTGCTTATTAAAGTTGTTTACCTTGGGTAATACACGATTGGAGCAATTTTTTTCTCTTTCTATGTAACTAAGGAGAGGAGTATATATTATGATCCTGGCTTCCATTCATATCATGGATGATTATTGGAGGAACCTCTCGATCTCAACATTTTGGAATCCATGTAACAAGGTGGAAAAAAAGGCTGTGTTGTGGTGATCCTAGTATCTGGAATTTAAATATAAGGCTAAATACTGCTACTGGGCGGCACGGGTGCGCAAAATCACGCATATATATGTGATTTTGCATTTCCTGGTAGAAGGCGCATCCCGGACAGTAATTACTCGCTGGCGCCCCGTGATTTCCGAAGATCTCCAATGGGGAGGAGGACTGTTTTGTTTACTTACAGTTCTCCTCCCTGTCAGATCGGGCACACTGCCCTGGACAGCTTTGCACAGCACAGCCGTCCAGAGCAGTGTGATTACAGTGAAGCACACAGTCTCCACCCCCCAGTAAAAAACTCCCTGCACACAGTTAACCCTTTTGATCGCCCCTCATGTTAACTCCTTCCTGCCCAGTGCCATTGGTACAGTGTCAGTGCTTTTTTTTTTTAGCACTAATCACTGTATTGGTGTCACTGGGGATGTCAATGACATCAAGTCAGTTCCCCCCAGTGTCAGAATACCTGCCACAGTCCCACTATAAGTCGCTGATCGCCGCCATTACTATAAAAATACATTTTAAAAATCCCAGTATATATACCGCCATTTGTAAACACTATAACTTTCACGTAAACCAATTAATTTACACATATTGGGATTTTTTTTATAGCAAAGACATGGAGCAGAATACATTTTGGCCAAAATGTATGAGAAAATTTGATTTTTTTAATTTTTTTACTGGACATGTTTTATAGCAAAGTCAAATATATTGTTTTTATTTTCTCAAAATTCTCGGTCTTTTTTTTTATAGCGTAAAAAATAAAACCGCACAGATGATCAAATACCACCAAAAGAAAGCTCAATTTGTGGGAAAAAAAGGATGTAAATTTAATTTGGGTACAGCGTTGCATGACTGCGCAATTGTCAGTTAAAGTAACGCAGCACCGTAAAACACAAAACATGGCCTGGTCAGGAAGGGGGGTAAATCCTCAGGAGGGCAAGTGGTTAAAGAACTATGTACAAACAGATAAGGGCCTGCCAGGGGCGGACTGACCATTTGGAAACTCGGGCACTGCCCGAGGGCCCGGGGTCAGTAGGGGGCCCCATGAGATGCCCCGGTACCTTTTTCATAGGCTTTTTTGAGTTTGGGCAAGGACACGAGGGCCCCATGATCCCCTATTGCCCAGGGGCCCCATGAGTTGTCAGTCCGCCCCTGGGGCCTGCTAAGTCTCTGGCTGCTCTACTCCAAGCTGCAAACTGTACTGCACAACACTGGGAGTATTAATAAAGCAGCAACAAGGAATAAAAGTTCCAAACTGTTCTGTTAAAGACACAGAACCTAGCTGTATTGCATGGCACTTGGCTGTTCTAGTTCCAGCATTAGAGAATTAGCGTGTTCCTGGCTGTCTTGCACTGCACTTGAGCTACACTTGGACCCGGACCCATGTGATATTGCACTTCACTATCCTCTCCTTTCCTTTGGGTGTGATGGCTGGTCTGTATTCACTTGGTCCTTTTTAACAAGTTCCCAGGATCGAGGGTAGCTGCTGTCATAGGCCTTTCTGCTGGTCAGGCTGTTTCTGCTTGGCTTGGCGCCTACAGGTAAGCTTAGCTGAGACTGGAGCTTGGTGACTTCCTGAAGTTTGCTTCTCGTCCTTCCCTCCTCCTCTTCTCCTTTCTGCCACAAGCGGAAAAACCCCCTAACCCAGGGGTCCTTTCTAGATGGCTTGACCCTGGACTCTGCTCCCAGACTGCCAAGCGTCTCAGTATTTATGGGTTGACTCTCCACCTTCTTGGGCATGCTTCCGCAGGGATTGGTGGAAGGCCCATAAATATTCAGGTTGCTAGCCCGTCATTCACTCCCACTATGTTGTGGAAGACGGGGAAGTAACAGTCCAGCAACCTGTGAACTTCTACACAGCATTCCTAACCAATTAACCCCCGCTTCTCCTCCTACAGAAGAGCTAATCTAAATTTGCTTACACAACCACCCTAAGGAGTACTACACTGTTAACATAACGTACAATTTACATAAACTTCAAAAACACTACAATGATTTTGACTCCCTCCTTTTGGAGGGATCCCATGTACAGTAGCTTTCAACATACAGTATATTGCTAAAAGTATTGGGCCAGCCCTCCAAATCATTATATTCAGGTGTTCCAATCACCTCCATGGACACAGGTGTATAAAATCAAGCACCTAGGCATGCAGACTGCTTCTACAAACATTTGTGAAAGAATGGGTCGTTCTCAGGAGCTCAGTGACTCCAAGCGTGGTCCCGTGATAGGTTGTCACCTGTGCAATAAGTCCATCCGTGACATTTCCTGGCTACTAAATATTCCACACAACTGTTAGTGGGATTATAACAAAGTGGAAGCAACTGGGAACAACAGCAACTCAGCCACCAAGTGGTAGGCCACGTAAAATGACAGCGGGGTCAACGCTTGCTGAAGTGCAGAAGTCGGCAACTGTCTGCAGAGTCAATAGCTAAAGACCTCCAAACTTCATGTGACCTTCAGATTAGCACAACAACAGTGTGTAGAGATCTTCATGGAATGGGTTTCCATGGCCGAGCAGCTGCATCCAAGCCTTAAATCACCAAGTGCAATGCAAAGCATCGGATGCCGTGGTGTAAAGCACACCGACACTGAACTGAATTTGTTCTCTCTTGGCAAGAGGAGATTAAGGGGGATATGACCAACATGTATAAATACACAGGTGACCCATATAGTGTGGAGTTATTCACTTTAAAGTCATCATAGAGGACAAGGGGGCACTCTTTACATCTAGAGGAAAAGAGATTTAATCTTCAAATATGGAAAGGTTTTTTTCACAGTAAGAGCAGTGAAGATGTGGAATAGACTTCCTCAAGAGCTGGTTCTGGCCAGCTCAGTAGATTGCTTTAAAAAAATGCCTGGATTCTTTCCCAAATGCACAGAATATAACCGGATACTAACATTTATAGGTAGCGTTGATCCAGGGAATATCCGATTGCCTCTTGAGGGATCAGGAAGGAATTTTTTCTCCGCTGGAGCAAATTGGATCATGCTTTGCTGGGTTTTTTTGCTTTTCTCTGGATCAACTGTGGGTATTGGATTGTTTATATAGGACTATATAAATTATTTTTCCTTTTTATTGGTTGAGCTAGATGGACTTGTATTTTTTTTCAACCAGACTAACTATGTAACTATGTGTAATAATTTGAAATGCTATTTTTTTTTTTTTTTGCATTATTCTTTAACTTGTATAACTTCTAAACCTGTGCCTAACCCCTAAAATGCCATGGAAACCATAATCTTACTCCTGCTGGTATTATCACGATGAACAATAAATTCCTTTATAGAACTCTAATGCAACCTTACCACATCCACCCCTAACACTGGCCCTTTCCATGTCCAAACTGAGCTTTACTCTAAATTTTAAATCTAATCCTAACCCTAATGAAATCCTAACGCTAATGCTGCATCTGCATCCTAATCCTACACTGACCTTAAAGAGGTTTTTCACCGTAGAAAGAAAAGATTAAAAGTCAGCAGCTTCAAATAATGTAGTTGCTGACTTTAATAAAAGGGCACTTACACGTGCAAGGATCCAGTGCCACCCTCACCTGGGTCAGTTCTTTGCTGGTCTTCAGATCACCATGTTTTGGCTGGGACTCCTTGCGGCTTTACAGCTGGCTACCCACTAGAGGCGGACTGACCATTTGGAAACTCGGGCACTGCCAGAGGGCCTGGGGTCGGTAGGGGGCCCCATGAGATGCCCCTGGTACCTTTTTCATAGGCTTTTTTGAGTTTGGGCAAGGACACAGGGGCCCCATGATCCCTTATTGTCAGTCCGCCCCTGCTGCCCACTGTTCATGCATAAGCCAACTTGCTCTTTGTGAATGATCCAGCAGCCTCCTGTGATGTGTCCCAGAAGGCTGCAGGCAAAGAGGGGGGAGCGAACTTCTGGGAGTGCGAGCAGGTACCTATCAATATCAGATACCTGCTCTCCCCAAAAACCCTTATGTTCCCAATGTGAAAGAGAAGGGGGGAGGAGGACATAAAGCGGAACAAACCCTTTAGAGTGAAGTAACACTGTAACAACATTTTAAACTCACCTCAGCTATAATTTAACCATAATTTAAGAACACCCTAACTCCACTCTTACAACATTCTAACCAAACCCAAACCTTAAATAAAGCTGGGCAGCACAGTGGCTAAATGGTTAGCACTTCTGCCTGGCAGTACTAGGGTCGTTGGTTCGAATTCCAACCACGGCACCACCTGCCTGAAGTTTGCATGTTCTCCCTGTGCCTGCTTGGGTTTCCTCCAGGTACTTTAGTTTCCTCCCAAACTCCAAAGACATGCTGGTAGATGAATTGGCTCCTGTCTAAATTGGCCCTAGTATGTGTATGTATGAATGTGACTTAGGAGCCTTAGATTGTACACCCCTTGAGGGTTAGGGACTGATGTGAATGTACAATATATATGTAAAGCACTGCATAAATTGACGGCGCTATACAAGTACCTGTAATAATAATAATCAAGCCATAACCTCAATTCTAACCAAACTTTAGCCTTAACCATTCACTAATCCAACCCTTTGCACATCCTAAACCTGATTCATCCTAGGCCAGCCCTAAAGCTAACCCTTGTCCCTCACTCCAGTTATCCTCTAGCCTAACTCTAACCCTATCCTGACTCTAAGCACATTAAAACTTAAACTCAACCATGACCCTAACTCTAACCCATCTCTTTCCCCAATCATATTATAACTGTAACCCAACCATAACCCTGTTTTTTACCCAGGGTTCCCCAAACTTTCTAAACAAAGGGCCAGTTCATTATCCTTTAGACTTTAGGGGCTATCAGTAGCATAAAATGTCCCAGCATTAGTGGGAGTAAGTAATGGCTGAGGCTACGTTGTCAATGGGAGTAAACAAAATTGACATCACAACATTACATGGTCAGTAGGTGGAAGAATGGCATCCCTTTATTGGTGTCAATGGGAGGAATAGTGTTTCATCATTCCATTCATATCATAGGGAGGAAATATACCCCATCGGTGGAGTCAGTGGAAGGAATAGTGTTCTATCACTGGTGTCAGTGGACAGAATAGTTCTCCATTGTTGGTGTCAGTAGGAGGAATATTGCTACCAGGGATAGATAAAGGCAATCAAATGGCTACATCCAGTCCTCAAGACGAAGTTTGGAGATAGCTGATTTAACCCAACCCTAATCCTAATCGCATTAAACCTCCAACCCTATCTCTAATCTAACCCTGACCCTAGTCACATTATAATTCTAACCCAACCATATTCTAACTCTAACCAACCCTAACCCTAATCACAGTAAAATGCTAACCATAAACACTAAACCAACCCTGACCCTAATCACATTAAAACTCAAATTCAACCATAACCTTATCTCTAACCCAACCCCGACCATCGTCACATTACAATCCTAACCCAACAATAACCTTAACTCTAACTCAACCCCAACTCTAATCACATTAAAACTTGAATCCAACTATAACCAGATTTCTAACCCAACCCTTATTGTGAATGTCCATATAAAAGAACATCTGGGTAGCAGTGACCATAACATGATTTAATTTATTGATAGCTGTAAACATCCAGCACATTTGTAAAAAATAAAAACACTCAGCTTTAAGAGAGCTATTTTTCAAAGCCTGAGAGCTACTCTACAAGACTTAGACTGGGAGGGAATATTGGCATTGATGAACACAACACAGAAATGGGAGTTCTTCAAAAAGACTGTATGTGAACACACTGCAAAATATATTCCCATGGGCAACAAGTTTAAAAGGCTAAAAATCAAACAGAATTGAGCTCTGTCATTTCAGAGCCATTGTTTCTAATTTTTAGGGACTCTTTAATGACTGGCATAGTACCACTGGAATGGTGTAAGGCCAATATGGTGCCAATATTTGAAAAGGGATCAAAATCTTTACCAAGTAATTATAGACCTGTTAGTTTAACATCTATGTTTGGGAAAATACTTGAGAGTTTAATAAAAGACCACATAGATAGAGGTCTTGCTGAAAAAAATATTTTAAGCAACAGACAGCATGGATTCATGAAAGACAGAAGTTGTCAAACAAATCTGATTTCTTTTTATGAGGAGATGAGCAAAACCTTGGACAGAGGGGTGGTGGACGTGGCATACATGGACAGAGGGGTGGTGGTGGACGTGGTATACTTGGACAGAGGGGTGGTGGTGGACGTGGTATACTTGGACAGAGGGGTGGCGGTGGACGTGGTATACTTGGACAGAGGGGTGGCGGTGGACGTGGTATACTTGGACAGAGGGGTGGCGGTGGACGTGGTATACTTGGACAGAGGGGTGGCAGTGGATGTGGTATACTTGGATTTTGCAAAAGCGTTTGACACAGTTCCCCACACACGGCTAATGTGTAAGGTAAAGTTTACAGGCTTGGAAAAATACGTATGTAACTGGATAGAAAACTGGCTAAAAGATCATATTCAGCTATGAGGAAAGATTAGAGGAACTGAATTTATTCTCTCTTGAGAAGAGGAGATTAAGGGGGGATATGATCTCCATGTATAATACATAAGGGGGGATATGATCTCCATGTATAAATACATAAGGGGGGATATGATCTCCATGTATAATACATAAGGGGGATATGATCACCACCATGTATAATAAAGGGGGGATATGATCTCCATGTAAAATACATAAGGGGGGATATGATCTCCTTGTATAATACATGAGGGGGGATATGATCTCCATGTATAATACATAAGGGGGGAAGGAATTTGATCTCCATGTATAATACATAAGGGGGGATATGATCACCATGTATAATACATAAGGGGGATATGATCTCCATGTATAATACATAAGGGGGGATATGATCACCATGTATAATGCATAAGGGGGGATATGATCTCCATGTATAATACATAAGGGGGGATATGATCTCCATGTATAATACATAAGGGGGGGATATGATCTCCATGTATAATACATAAGGGGGATATGATCACCATGTATAATACATAAGGGGGGATATGATCTCCATGTATAATACATAAGGGGGGATATGATCTCCATGTATAATACATAAGGGGGGATATGATCTCCATGTATAATACATAAGGGGGGATATGATCACCATGTATAATACATAAGGGGGGATATGATCTCCATGTATAATACATAAGGGGGGGATATGATCTCCATGTATAATACATAAGGGGGATATGATCTCCATGTATAATACATAAGGGGGGATATGATCTCCATGTATAATACATAAGGGGGGATATGATCTCCATGTATAATATGATCATAAGGGGGGATATGATCTCCATGTATAATACATAAGGGGGGATATGATCTCCATGTATAATACATAAGGGGGGATATGATCTCCATGTATAATACATAAGGAGGGGATATGATCGCCATGTATAATAAGGGGGGATATGATCTCCATGTATAATACATAAGGGGGATATGATCTCCATGTATAATACATAAGGGGGATATGATCTCCATGTATAATACATAAGGGGGGATATGATCTCCATGTATAATACATAAGGGGGGATATGATCTCCATGTATATTACATAAGGGGGGATATGATCTCCATGTATAATACATAAGGGGGGATATGATCGCCATGTATAATACATAAGGGGGGATATGATCGCCATGTATAATACATAAGGGGGGATATGATCACCATGTATAATACATAAGGGGGGATATGATCTCCATGTATAATACATAAGCGGGGATATGATCACCATGTATAATACATAAGGGGGGATATGATCTCCATGTATAATACATAAGGGGGGATATGATCTCCATGTATAAATACATCAGTGGTTCATATAGTGAACTCAGTGTAGTTATTCACCCTGACATCATCATAAAGGACAAGGGGGCGCTCTTTATGTCTGGAGGAAAAGAAATTGAATCTCCATATACGGAAAGGGTTCTTCACAGTAAGAGCTGTGAAAATGTGGAATAGACTCCCTCAAGAGTTGGTTCTGGCCAGCTCAGTGGATTGCTTTAAAAAGTTCTGGATTCTTTCTTGGATACATAGAATATAACTGGAAACTAACATTTATAGGTAAAGTTGATCCAGGGAATATCCGATTGCCTCTCGGGGGATCAGGAAGGTATTTTTTCCCCTGCTGGAGCAAATTGGATCATGCTTTGCGGGGGGGGGGGGGTTGCCTTCCTCTGGATCAACTGTGGCTGTAGGATTATAAAGTTTTTTTTGTTTTTTTTTTTAATGGTTGAACTGGATGGACTTTTGTCTTTTTTCAGCCAGACTAACCATATATACAGTATGAAGTCTTTCAGGGCTCCCGTGCAAGAAACCATGAAGGGCCCCCCTGACCCCCAGCCAGGACCCTTCCCACTGATTCTGGGGCCCTTTACTTCCATTATTAGGTGTCACGCAGTGGGACCCTTTCACGTGTTCTTCCTGCCATCTTGGTGCTCCCCACAATGGTGGTACGTTAGGGCCTGATCGAAAATGCGACCTTTACAACCCTGGTAGTTCTGTCACTGGTCACTATGTAACCCTTAAGCTAACCCTGTCCCTAACCATACACTAACCCTAACTCTAACAATAGCCCTACCCCATATCATACAGTATTATAATAATGAAAAGAAAAGTATCATACCAATACTAGCCTAAATGATCCTATTGTGCTGATGTACCACAATAAATCTATGCTCCAAAATGTCATTAATAAAATTTATGAAACTAAATACACTAAGATTACAAGCACTAAAATCATGCACTCATGTATTTCTGCACTGAATTTAACTGCTTCAGAAATACATGTAATGCCCATCTAAAAAAAAAAAATCCTAAATCTGATCGAATTTTTAGATCACGTAAGATAAAAAATTGAAAAAA